AGTAGTAGTCTCGCTCAGTGCGCATGCTCTGCGGTGATGACGTTTCGAACGAAACTCTAACGAAGTTCACGAAGGAAAGAGTTGGTTTACTTCGTTAAGAAAATGGCGCCCGACAATATCGATGTTTCTAAATCTACTCGAGTGTTTAAATTGTGAATTAAAAGATGAAATGATTGGAGTAACTGTCCACCCGAAGCAATCTAAGAAAAATATTTCGGATAAGGCTGTACTAGCAACATTTGTATCTTCGATTTTAGAAACAGCCATTTAGTTCTAAACGAATCATTCGAAAAGTCTAACGAAATAAGAATAACGATGACGTCATTCTCGTTTAACTCGTTCGACTTTACGAACGTACCCAGAATATGGTGACATTAAGAGGAATCTAATAGAATTTGAGATTTCATGAAAAGGCTTTAACTGTACTTTTAAAGTTAAAGGTTTACTTTAAAACTTTCAAAATAAAATAATTACATTAGATATAGCATTATTTTAAAAATATATCTAATAAACATTATACATATGTATATATTGTATATTTTAATTAGTTGAAATTATCTCATCTAATTGTAAATACTTTAATTTTCATATCTTTTCTTACTCAATGCTTATCATTAGTTTAAACAACACAGGGTGTTTCAAAAAGTATGCTACAATTTTAAATTATTGTAATTATTATTTGAGAATGTTGTAATGTACAATAAAACATTGGAAAACAGTCCAAGTTTCACATTTGCTTGATACAATTTCTTGAAGTATACACCTCGTGTCACACAGTATTCATCCAACTAATACTCAACTACCAGTATTCGGATTAGAAGATTTGTAATACTCAAATTCTTTCTGCACTTCCTTTGACATATCTGTTGTCTCTCTTCTTACAACAGTGACAATTCTATTGCTACTGCCGAACACAAAATGCTTTATCTATTGTGGAATCACTTTTTTGTTATATGGCACTTCCTAGATGTAGTAGATGACATGATGTTTGAATGCAGATGGGAGATAAAACTCTGAATTTTACTCTATCAATTGGTGTAGGTCGCGTACTTCTTGGATAATAATTATAGTAATTTAAAATAGTAGCATTTATTTTGGAAGATCCTTTATGAGTAAAGCTTAGTTCACACTGAGCGCGATTCGCTAGCGAAAGTGAAAAACAGAGCGAATAACCCGTCAAATATTTGACCGGTTATTCGCTTTGTTTTTCGCTTTCGCTAGCGAATCGCGCTCAGTGTGAACTAAGCTTAAGTTTTTTGAACTTACCAAACTTTGATTTTGGCATTTAATTTCACAAATTTATTGATTAGTTTTTTGTGTAATAAGAATGAATTAAAAGTGTTCTTATTAAATAGTATTTGGAAAGAAGTTTTAAAATTGGTCTTGAAATCACAAAATTCAAAATCATGCAAATTTTTATCGTATGAGGGCTGTTCCTTTTTCAACCTCCTATGGTCCATAAAGCAAAGACAAGTGTAAATAACAAAATCAGTTTATTACTGTAAGTTAGGTACAATGATAGTTGCTTTTTGACATAATCACCGTGAAGTTTGAAGCATTTGTCTATCTGTGGACAAGCTTTAAAATCTCCTCTTCATAGAATATTGACGCCAGTGGCTTGAGATGGCTTTAACAATGTTGTTTTGAAGATCGTCATTACTTTCAAACCTCAGCCCTGCTAGCCACTTTTCCGGTTCAGGAAAGAGGTGGAAGTCTTCACACATTAAAAAGTTTTAAGCTGGGTGGAAGTCTTCACCATCTTTAAACATCCAGCATATAGCCCTGATTTAGTGCTGAGAGACTTCCACCTCTTTCCTGAACAGAAAAAGTTGCTAGAAGGGCAGATGTTCAAGACTAATGACGATCTTCAAAATAACATTAAGGCCCATCTGAAGTCATTGGCCACAACATTCTATGAAGAGGGGATTGCAAAGCTTATATACAGATAGACAAATGCCTCAATCTTCACAGTGATTATATTGAAAAGTAACCATGTTCATACTAATTTTTGATAATAAATTGATTTTGTTCTTTATACTTGTCTTTGTTTTATGGACCATCAGATGTTGAAAAAGAAACAGCCTACTTATATTTTGTTTAATTGTTACTGTCAGTTATTAAAAACACTTTGTTTAATCACTTTACTTATTACACTTTCATGTTTAGTTTTATGAAATAATCAATATCTATATACATAATCATTGACATAAAGTTTTTGAATGGAAGCAGACCTTTTATACAAAAAAAAAAAAAATGGTACATAAAGTAGAATATCAGTACTTGAAAAAGCCAAAATTTCAATAAAGTAAAATATTTTATTTGCTACGAGACATCAAACGTAGCATGTGGACAGTGGATTTTAATTGATCACGAGTATAGTCTGTAGTATTTTATAAAATATTTCTTTCTTATTTAAAACTGAGTATATTAATAAATAAGAGAACTGTAATTTGTTTCAGATATGAAATTGCTTATATATTATTATTGATTGTGTCTTTTCATGTTTATTAATTATATAATATAGGTGAAACATGGCCATTCACGAAGATGTTGGTGTGTTTTAATTGGTCGAATGTTTCTTTATTTTAAAACACCAAGTGATACGGTAAGTATTTAGCATAATAAAATATAGTAATTTTAATTATTTCATTTAAGTTTTAATTATGTACTTGTAACTGGGGCAGTTTTAAACATGAATCAAATAAACAAATGCTCAAAATGTCAAATTTGGGAATTCTAAAAAATAGAAAAACTACATAGATTTTTAAATTTCCAATTGGGATGAATTGTGCTGTTAGTGATTCATTTCTTTGGTTCTGTCTTCTATTTCAGAAGAATAAATAATGTATAACCTGATGCAACTGCTTTATTAAGATTTCACAATAAAAAATATGCATTTTGAATATCTGTCCTCCTCTTCAGTCATTAATCTCTTAACATAGTTGCACATATCCATTATAACATCTCTTACACACGCAAGTTTAAGATTCATATAGGAAGTTTAATAAAGTTACATTTATCTTTTCTGGTAATGTTTATTGTAGACAGTAGGTTTTCAAATCTAAAGTAAGTTAGGTTGTCTCATGGAAGTCTTTGAGAAAAAAATTTATTGTCTGGGAATCTTTGGACACTTTGGATTTAAAAACCTTCTGTCTACAGTAAATATTCTCATGAAAGATAGATATGACTTTGAAAACTGCTTGTATGGATCTTAAAATTTCATCTGATAGATACTATAATGAATATGTGCAACTATTTTAAAAGATTAATAATTTAAGAGGAGTGTCAAAATGTATATGATTATTCTAAAATCTTAATAAAGTTATTGCATCAGGTCATGGATTGGTTCTATCTTCTATTTCAGAAGAATAAATAAAGGAGAAAAACTATATTTAAAAAATAATATTACAAGCTAAAATATTATAACAGTTGGTTTTGTTAGAAACTAAAATTAATAAATCAAGAAATTCATACAATAAAAATGCCTTAAGTTTTGAAAACATTTTTTTGGTATATATTAGAGACACCTACTACTAAATTGGCTTGGGATGCCATAATTTTCTCTCTCAATATTGTATGTTGACAGTTTATAATTAATAAGTGAAAGGAATAATTCTCTAATATTCTTAACTTTTTATTAGATCTAAAAATACATAAATGTTAGAGATCAGATATTTTTTTAATTTAAAAAATTTATTTTAATATTTTTCCAAATTTTTATAACTACAGTTATACTGCAGTTTTTGTTGACTTCCGTTATTGTCAGTTTCAGTTTTTGTCAATTTTTTTCATGAAAAATTTGTCTTGCTTTTTGTTGGTTACCTCAGATTTTGTCGGCATGTCCGCATGACCTTGCTGCTAATTTTGTGAAAACATAGTGTGACCCATGCATTTTCCTGCTCAGTATGGCATTGTTCTTGTTGTGTGAGCATTACCCTGCATATCTAGCCAAACAATTCCATTGCTTTCCTTTCCTTTCCTTTTAGCTCCATCATGGGACCAAAGAAAGTTTTTAGGGTCAGAAGCCATTCAAATGCCATGTTAAATGCTATGTTAAATATTCATTTATTCTTTACATTAAATTTTTATATTCATTTCTTATTGTTTTTAGTTTTAAACACAATATTTATTCTCTATAAAATGTGTTTTGGTATGTATTTTGGAGTGTCTAGAACAAATTAATTGGATTTACATTGATTCATATGGAAATAATTACTTTGGTTCTCATCGGTTTTGGATTTCGCCAATTGTTTTCAGACGGATTATCAACAAAAATTGAAGTATCACTGGATCTAGGAATGATATTCATTTCTACATGATTGAATAATTAATAAGGAAAATTCACCCATCTCTAAAAGTTTTACAGATTTTTATTTTTATTTTTGTATGCATGATGATTTTTTGATAATCAGAATTAATGCACCATTTTCTTTGTAAATTTTTAATTTATTAGTTTGCCGATTAGGTTGCTAAAATATCAACCTTTATTTCATTAAATTATCTTTATAATATGTTAAAAGTAAAAAACATATATACAGTAAAGAAATGAAAATTTTTATTAATAAATTTTATTAAATCTTTTTAAGATCAAGTTAGATATATACACATATAGTAAAACATTAAAAAAAAGTTTATTTTCATGTACTATCATACAAAAATAAAAATGGTATGTATGATACTTAAAGCAACATCAGATATGCCAATTTTCTGTTTGTCACAGATGATTGGACAGTGATTTCTTCGAAATTTAGCTGGAGAATCTGAAACAATATGTATATTTTGCATAATTGGCTTTTCTTCTCAGTTGATTGACCCTTGAAAATAAATCAGGATCATTGAGGTAGTTACCATTGGATGCAACTTAATCCCCTTAGTAAATAAATAAATAATTCAAAAATGTGTTTGTCTAGAAAGTATTGGATCCCAAAAGAAATTTGAGTTATTCATATATGAATCTTAAAATTTCATATATGTATAATATTCTGATATGTTTTTTATGCAAAATGTTTTGGAAGTGATACTGAATAATGCAAATGTTATATAAGATTAATTACATGTGATTAATTTTCATAAAATAAATAAGAAAAAAAAAGCAAATTTTCATAATTATTTTTAATATCATTAATGCAAGCAAGGTCCATAAGTAAATATAACATGAAAGTACATTTTTATGTATTTCATCTATGTTTATATATATATAAGTGTTTTAAAGTTTTGAAAAATTGTTAAAATTTTTGAATCCTGTTCAAAACCAAAATAACAATTTTGATTTCTATTTTAAGACTCCATTAGGTCAAATTAACATGAGAGATGCTCAAGTAGAAGAAGTTGTACACATCTCTGACAGTGATGAAGAAGACCAAGATGAAAATGTTACCAGATCCGAATATACCGTTGCTATATATCCCAATCATCAAGGTCCAACGTATCTATTGTTATCAAATAAACAAGAAATGGTAGGTTAATTGAAAACATTAATTTAAAACTTCTTTTGACTTCATCCTGATTCATTTATATACTAACAAATAGTTCTTTGTAACAAATTTGAGAACTGTGGATATCATTCTATCTTTTAATAATTTTCATGGTCCTAAAACCTTTGAGAATGCTGTGTATTTTCTAATAGGATGCCTGGCTGTATAATTTAACTGTAGTTTCTTCTGGTGATAATCTTGTTGGAACTCAATATGAACAATTAATTGCTAGACTGATGGAAGTAGATGGTGATGAAAGTAAGTGAATTACCATTCTATGGTAGAAAACTGTGTGAATGCAAATATCTGTTAGAATCAGTCTTGTGAAAATCATTACTAATTCTATAATTGTTATTCTTTTACTGTTTAAATTATTAATTAATTCTAAAAGAATATTTTATTCTCATACAATACAGTATAATGTCATTGTTTTTATTATAATTGTTACAGCTAGTGTTATTTGGAGACATCCTTTATTGTTATATTCAAAAGAAAATATTACTCAGGCTCTGACCACTCTACCGTCCGAACAACTTCAAGCTGAGGCTGTCAAACTTTTTAAGGTAGTGTGCATTTAAAGTAATTTTAATTTATTTGATTGTGCACATCATAAATTGTGTCTCACAAGTCAATCTAGCATATAAATTGACCTCAAGATTACTAGCTTAAAATTCAGTCTATGCTTATACTTGAAACATTTGATCTACAAACATATATCAAGCTTGTAATCTACCATATGTTTGAGGATTAAATACCAGTGTGATAGAACATTTTGTAGTATTTCTCTACTGTTTTATTCACATTGTAAGAAACACATTGTGGCTAGAACACAGTGCTATTCAATCCTTCAATAAATAGATTAAATAGAAAATTACAGTCATATTAATATTGTAACTGCATTAAACTTAATAATTTTTATACCATTTCCTGTTAAAATAAAAATAATAATAACCAATATAATATTCTAATGGTGCTTTATTGATTTCTGTTGGAATTTAAAAGACAATTTTTATTGATATTTTGTTGCTTTTTCTACAACTGTTTACAATCAATAGATAACAATAAAAAAATACTAGTATATTTCATATTGGTCTATGAAAAGTAATAGAATTTCATAACTATTGATAATTTAAATTGGGATGACTATAACAATATATTTATATATTATTATAGTATATATTTAGTTGTACAATATATTTATATACTGTTATAGTCATTCCAATTTGTATTAGCTATGAAATATATTTACAGTCAAACTTCTATATAATGAAGTTGCTATCCTAAAAAAAATTGCTATCGGGAAATTTTGTTATATACAGAAATTACATGTTTTGATAAATAAAGTATTATAAATTATAATTTTTTGTTGCACAAAACAATTTTAAAACTGTTCTTTCTTCATAATATGCTTCACACTTATTAAGAACATTAAAACTATTGTAAGGGCTATTGATTATTAAAAGTCAATTACTCCCTCTGGTTCAAGATCGAATTTAAGAGAGAGAGAGAGAGAGAGTTTACATCAATAAAACATACTACTGTTGGAACCCCTGTTAGACCAGAGCCTGCTGGTTCTGACAAAAAACAAAAATATGACAAGTCAGCTTACAATTAAACAAATTTCTTTAATTATAATGCAGTACTTAACAAGCAGAGGGTCCATAAGACAATACCCCTCACGTAAAGTGTCTCTCACATACAAGAAATTTTTGCCCCCACTCTCCTTTTCCCACGTTCTTGCATAACAAAATTAAGCTACAACATTAACAAGGAGGGGTCAGTATGAACCTGTGTTACTCACAGTATCTCTCCATAACTGGAACAACGATATTCGCCTGGCAATTGCCGCACATGAAGAAATAAAGTCTCTGGACAATCCTCCAGTTTATTTTTTACCTTTTTATTTTCTTCCCTTTTGATTAATCTAGACATAGATACCTCCTGATGGAAACCTATTTTCACCTATTCCTTAACCTCTGTCCTCGATGATCTCACTTCAGTTTTTCCACACACGTCTTCCTAAGGTCTCAACGCAAGCAAGAGAAAAAGCTAATCTTTTACACACAGTCCTTCTATTATAATTCCTTTGGGCTGGATGTTCGTCAACTACACATGACTCACCATCCAACCAATCCCATAGCTCCCCCCACTCATCCAAGGAGAAGGTGGTATGAAGCAAGGGAGAGTCACGTGTAACAATAAAAAAAGGATAACCCGATACAACAAAAAAAAGAATAAAAATAACGCAATGTATAGATACACAAATATATACATACATACATAAACAATGAGAATAATATATACATTTAAGTAGCAGAGCACTACACTACCTCAACTTGACAACTGTTGATCTATTCGTCGCACAATTGGTGCTTGATTAATATACATGGGAAGGTTAATTGGTGATATTCAGCAGATGGAGATATAGGTGGGTTTGGAGACTGGTGATGAGGAGCCAGAGTGGGACTATATACACCTTATGGCATCCATACTTTCGTGTGGCAGTGTTCGTTCCTCCCTTGACTGCTGCTTTCCTCTATAGTAGTCTTTGTAACCTTCAGTTGCTGCTTTCTATGGCAATTGCTTGATTATTGTTGGCTGCCCTGAGATTATGATTTCTCTCCCTTTTATTCTAAATTTCTCTCCAATTGGGTTTTAGTATTTGTAACATCTGACGGGATATTATTTCTGATGCAAATGGACAGATGTTTGTCGGAGATTTGTGATAACATCTCTCCCAAAGGAAGTTTTACTTTCCTTCCCATGAATTTAACAGAAATATGTTAAATTTTTTGGTAAAATATTACTTTAATTTACTAATTGATTTAAAACTTATTATCAGGAATTGTGGATTCAAGTCACATTTCAGGCTGATATTTTCTTCTAGCATATTCTAAATGAGAATTAAAAAATTAGTTTGTTTCTAATTATTAAATTTATCATAAGATGGTGACTTAACTGCCTGCCTTTAGCCAAATTGCTTTATATCCGATAGTCAATTAGCATTGATGTAGTGCAATAAAAAAATCCAGCATATCATTTGGTATTTTTTATTATGTATAGAATTAGTTATGTTTTACAAATTCATATATTAAGTCACTGTACAAACATCTATTGTTATAAAAAAATTTCACTTTAGAAATGATATTATCTACTTTAATCAAGTGTTTATTATTAAAAATAATAAAGAATTAGATGGATGATGTCTAGGTTAGAATTATTTGGACTGAATACTCTTTCTACCCAATAGATACGTTACTTTTACATGGAAATTTAGAATTAACAGAACATTTTTTAAACATGTTGACAGCCAACTTTTATATGAGAAATGAACATAGTTAAATTAGAAATGTCATATTCTAGGTTCCAATAAATAATTAAATTAGAAACAAAATTCTGATAGTTTATATAGAAATATATACTGTATAAATAAGAAAAGTATATTGAACTTATTGATTCAAAGCAAAAACTTATGCAAACTGCAAACATAAAAAATTAAATTAACTGATCAACTGACAATCAAATGATGCTGATTTAATGTTTTTAAATGAATTTATTAGATATATTTTGAGAAATAAACTATAATTTTGAAATTTTTTGAACAATATTTAAAGTAAATAATTGTTTATTAATAATTTGTATAATTTTACTTTTATATTTAAATTTAGAATTTAAAATTTTTAACTGCTGTTGTCACTTAACAAATTACAAAAAAGATAAATATAAAAATATCAAATTTAAAAAATGCAGCATTCAAATTTTTGGTTTAAATTATATTAACATTTTTAGAAGTCTGTTAAGAGTTCATTAATATTTTTTGATATAGTATCATTTAATTTTAAAAATTTATATTTAAATTAAATAGCCATTAATGTAAATATATAAATATATTAAATAATGTTTTTTATTCTATAGTCCATCCAGTTGTTTATCTCAGTGCCATTGGACACCTCAGGTATTGATTATCATGTTGCCTTGGCCCAAAATGCCTTGCAGCAGTGTCTCACTCTGCCAGAATTGCAAAATGAGTTTTACTGTCAGCTAGTGAAACAAACTGCACGACATTCCCAACAACGCATTGGAGTTCAGGTAATACAATTTCTAATATAAATATAAATCACACTGCAGTTACTTAGAATTTCTAGTAAAATATTTATTTCCAAAATTTAGTAATCTAGAGCAGTGTTACTCAAAGTGATCATCTGTGGACTGATACTGGTCCTCAGAGACTCGGAAAGTTTTTAGAAGAAAAAATGGTATTAAATAATGCTATGTTTTCAAAAGAACATGCCATATTTTTTTTATTGTAACATACATTGCTTTTACTCAATTAAAATTCCGTTTTTTTTACATGTCCAAAATAGAGATAGATACATATTACATTTGCAATTCAAAATAGTAATTAGCAGTCATTTCAAGTAGACAATGTTGTATGTTTTGCACCAATAATAAATGTTTTTGGTTATACTAATTTGAAATTGTCTCAGAACGACAATTTCAAAGTAATCCACCATGACTGATTCTGACTTGAAGTGCAGAACACAAAATGCCTTCTCTAATGTAGAGTCTGTTTTTGTTTATGGTGCTTCCTAGAGGCAGCAGACAAAAAGACATTTAAATGCAGATGGAAGATGAAACTCTGACAGTTATTCTATTGATTGGTGTACAATGCATACTTCTCAGGTAATAATTAACATAATTATAGTAATTTAAAATCATAGCATTCTTTTTGGAAGATTCTGTATATATATCATAAAGTGTTAAAGTTTAAAACAAAGATAATAAGTGATCAACAAATTCAAGATGAATGTTTTCCAAATGTTATTGATTCTTCTTATTTTAGAATTGTATCAAAACGTTGTTAAAACTAAAACTATTTCAGAAAATTAACAATCTTATTTTATTATCATATACCAAATTTATACAGTGTTACTTTATAAATAAACAAAATAAATAATAATTAAGATAAATGTTAACTGTAGTGAATTATTAATATTTATTTGAATTGTTTAGACAGCCAAATCATTATTTATATTAATCACATTATCTTTATTGTTTTCATAATTATGTACTGTACCTTATCCTTGATTTACATGCTAGATTGATTTTGTGAAAATTTTATAAATCTAAATTGTAATCACATTTATAGAATACTGGAACTTAATTCCCTATTTTCCAAAGATATTTTAGTCTTAGTTTACACAATTTAGATTTATGTGAAATTTCCTTGAAACTAATCTTCTATATAGATCAAGGATTAGATGTATTGCATAGAATCAAACATTATTTGCATATTGACAATGTAATCCAGGATCCTCTTTGTTTGAAGTTTAAGACTATTTACAAAAAATTAGTTCTTCGAATTTTTTCTAATCCTTCTTCACAATACCACAGAAGTAACACAGAAGTTATTTCTGTGGTATTGTGAAAAAGAATTAGAAAAGACTGAAAAAAAATTAATTTTTTGTAAATAGTCTTAAACTTCAAAAGATTAGTGTGAGAATACGAGCAAGGGAACAGAGCCTTCTAATTGTCTAGTTGGTAAAACTCGTTCACTTTGTCACTGGATGGCTTTAGGAAGGCGATAGGTGTCCTCTCCCTTCAATAAGATAGATTGACAGGTTAACAAATAAACAAAGCATTTATTGAATATCTAAAACTAACATACATATGGGCTAAATACAGTAAAATGCAATTACAATGTATATTATATACATGGGCTAATCTACTATATACACCTATTTCTGTTGAGAGAGAGTTCACAGACCACTCACTAACAAAATACCTCTATGTGGTGATGGAGAGCAGTATATGACAATCAGTTTCTGTATGGAAGTATCGTAGTCTTCATCCACTGTCTTCTCAGTCAGGATTGGAGATGTGGAAACTAAAATGGCACTATGATAAGCATAACTTCCTACGTTGGTTTGCTCTGTTCTTCCAGGGATTCCAGCTTTTATATCCTTATCATGGGAATTGGGTCACATGAGCATCCGTTGTTTACGATGACTGATGACTTGCATTCTTCGGAGAGTCGTTGTTTCGTTTCACAACAACATGTTAACTTTTCCACTTGATTATTGACATTGGAGGTGACATCCGATCTGCCTCTCCGCAATGAGGGTTTTTTCTAACGACGGATGTTTACATTAAACTTCCAAACAAATGATTTAACATTTTTTAAGCATTTTTTTTCCTTCCAAATTTGCACCCTTAAATCAGCAGCCTCACATCAGTGTAAAATTACTAAATAATACATCTAAAGTTTTCTTAATTGATAATTCTGTGAGTAATAATAATAATTTTGTATGCGTAAACTATTTGGCTATTTTCAATATATAATTCTAATTCTCAAATCGAAAATTTTGAAGAAAACTGTGTATAGTTAATTTTTCAAAATATTTTTCTAATTGATTTCACTTATTAATTTGCAAGTGAAAAATGTTGTTATAACTGAAAAACATATATTGAAATATGTATTTTATTTTTACTAAAATATTGCTCTTGAAATAATTTGATAATCAAGTATATAAGAGATGGTTTATTGAAATAAATAAAATAAACTTCAAACTCTATTATAACTATTCATAAAATTTATGAAGACTAACAAAATGCAGATTACACATATCAAAACCAGCTTAAGCTATTGACATCTGTAATAGAATAATAATAATAAGCCATAGTTTTCTATTAACTGTAAAAATATATCTAATTTATGAATTAATGTTTTTGAAATTTATTGTCTTCATTTCCATATACCCATTACTATTATTTTGTCATTCTGTTATATAACAACACTTTGATATATTTAATATAAAACAGAGCAAGGTTACCTCACAGTAAAGGTTAAACTTTAAAATGGAACAGTTAAAAAGAAATATCAAGATACAACTTTTTAGTATCCTAATATATATTGCTATGTTCAACAGGATTACTGGTAGTTGTAAAACAGACATAAAACATCAAGATATTGAAATAAAGAAGATAACTCAAGTGAATAAAAACTTAGAACACAAGTTATAAATAATAAATAAGAAGTTTAAAATCTCTGATATAATACAAGTAATAGATTTAATGTGACTAATTAAAAGAAATTTAAAAAGTTATTCATAAATTTTCAATGTTTGAAGTTGATTGGTGGCATTTTGAAATGAAACCATGGTACTTAAAAATGCTAATATATAAGTAAAACAGACCTCTAAAGTCCAGTTTGCAATCCACATAGGGCTCCTGAATGTTAACAGTGTGGCTTTGCAACGTATCTGACTATTCAATATACAGGTAACCCCCGTATAACACGGTAGTTACGTTTCAAAAAATTGCCGTGTTATGCGAATCAAAGAACTAGTACGAAAAGGAGGGTTAGGTTCCAAAAATTAAAAAACATGCTACTATATTTTCATAATTAAGATAAATATCTTTATTAAAATTTTCTTAAGTGATACATATTAATATAAATTAAACAATGTTTTCTTTGTCATCACTAAAAGCACTATTAACCGAGAGCGTTTTATTTTTGGCAAGTTATCGTTATCCTCTGAGCATTTTTCTGCATTATTTTCAGATTCATGCTTTACCTTTTGCAAAAAGTGTATGTAATTTTAGATTGCTTGCTTCTAGTTAAAAGATCTTTATAAATTTCCTTATATGGTGCTAAGCACTTATGGAATAAGGGAAAAACATCTGGCAACACCAGAAGCAGAAGCGTCGAGATATGGCAAAATTGAAACAATTTTCGCGAAGGCTCATGTGTATGGAGAAGAGAAAAGAAAATTTACACACTGAAGTACTAATAGTTCACGAAAATAATAATTTTCGTGAACTATTAGTACTTAAGTATGTAAAAATGTATTACATTTCATGTTGTACGAGGGTTTTACCCATTTCTCGAACCGTGTCAGAGTGGATCCATGTTATAAAAGTACTGTGTTATACGGGGGATGGTACCAATTCTCGAACCGTGTTAGAGTGAATCCGTGCTCTAGAAGTGCCGTGTTATACGGGGGTTACCTGTACATACATACATATATACATGATTATATCAGAATTAAACTTAAAACTTGCATACCATCACTAAACTCTTTTAAAAGTCATGAAAATATTACACTAAAATAGATAAATCAGCATCCCTATAACACATAACTTTAATTTAAATGACAGCAGCCCAGATGCAAAGTCAGTGGTAGAATTGTGGCTGTGTCATCAACTTCACAATGCAACGTTATGTTACCAGCTCGTCAGCTCTTACTGATATCAGCTAGCTCAAGTGTTACTCTTGATGCAACACTACTTGGCCACCCTCTATGTAGATTGTATGTTATAGTTAGTGAAATGGTGTCGTATAAATTTCAATAAATTCTATAATGAAAAATTCATTTAATAAATACAACAAACTTTTTGAACTGTTTGGCTAAATAATGTCATTTTAGTTGGGGAGAGAAAGAAAGAAAAAAGGAAGGGAGAAAAAGATAAAACAGATTTTAAATGTTATTTTCTATTTGCAAACACTTTCTATTTCCAGTTTAGAAAACAATTTTTAATGTGTAAATATTGACTTTTCTCACATGATAACAAATTAAAACACCATATTTTTCATAATAATCTTGAATTTAGAATATATTTTTCAGAGTATATATACAAAGCCTATATGAAGGGTTTGGGTAAAAGATGGTAAGTGCCATTTCCATTAGTACATTACGATGCATGCTAACAGCTAAACATCAGTGTATTTCAATTTAAATACTGTATCTACTTTCTAATTATAATGTATACTTTATTCTGAGTAAAGAAAACAAAGCAGAACATTTCTTAAGATGTTTAATTTTTGCATTTTTTCTAAACTTTCATTAAGACACTTATCATCTTCTACACCAAATACTTCATATATTTATACATAGACACATGCAAAATTATTATGAAAACAATTAAGATATTTTTTAAGAGAAATGAACGATCAGCATTCCAGGTTCATAAATTTTGATGTCAAATATAAATGTGTGACATCAAAATAAATGTAATAAGCTTTAACGGCCATATTCTGTAGGCTGAGTTAGAGTTAAAGTAAATGTTAAATCTAGAGTTTGCAAGTAATTGGTTTTCACAAGGTTGAGTAATCCTAACAGATTCAGTTAACTCTCACTCAAAGATTGGTGGTTTAGAGTTAAAATCAAGAATTGACACTTGTGACCTACAGTAACAAAAATGAGGAAATGATAGAAAATTTGAAATATTTGTAATACTTTCAACGTTGATGATTTGATTTCTGTATAGGAAAAATTAATGGTGAGAGAAGAAATTATTTGGAGCAGTTGAATGAAAATGAATTTATTACTCAATACCATATTAAAAAAAGGATACAGTAAGATGTTTATTATGTTGATTTGGTGAAAAACTTCAACCACAACATTCAAGAAAAAATATTAAGACACCTCTAGAATGAATTCTTATAGCTCTGCATATGTTTTCCTACTAATTCTAGTAGTAATTCTTTCTCAAAATTGCTGAAATTATGACATGCGTTAACATCCATTTGTGTTTCTGCCATATTTTATATACATGTTTACTTACAACCAATCAAGACACTGTGTACAAAAGAAGACTTATTTAATCTCGTACGCAAGATTGTTTTAAAACATTAACTCTAGGGTAGTGAAACTCAAGAATTATATTTTTATCTGAATATGAAAGACAAGTAACTCATAATCTAATAGTTTGTCATTTCTCTGTTTAACTCATTCTACAGAATATGGCCTTAAAAGGATTAAATCAAATCAACTCAGAATTTTTTAACCAAACAAATAACCAAATATTGCCAGATTAGATCCTTTGAAAAACACTGTCTTAAAGCATTCATAATGAAAAAATAATTGAAATACATTTTTAAAGTGATTAAAAAATCTTTCTCTATATAAAAAAAGAGACCAAAAAATAGTTCTCTGGATAAAAACATTCAAAAACTATGATAAGAATATTAAGCACAAAGATGTTTGTTTATAAATAGTTTGCTTAATTAATATGAAATGTATTCTCTTAAATTATGAAGTGTTAATGAGTGAAATTACTCTATTTTCAAATCAGTTTATGTAATGATTTGCAAATAAAGTAAATCTGTAAACAATAAACTAATATTTATGAACTCGATTATGATATTTTTGTAAATTGCAAAAAATATATTAAAATAAATGAAATTTTAAGTTTCTTAGGTAAATTATACATATAATTTCTATAAATATATAATTTTTAAATAATTAAATATTGATATTTTCTAAAATATATTTAATATTTCAGCAATTATTATTATGTGCCACACAATCTCTTTTCTTATGTGATGCTTCAATTGGAGAAAAAACATCTCCTACATCTGTTACTCCAACTGAACGACCACCTCCCTCAGACAGTAAACTTAATCCATTACCATTTGTTTTTGTTCAAGGTTGGCAACTTTTAGCTTTAGCTATTTCCTTGTTTCTACCAAAAAATCGCACCTTGTGGTATTTAAGAGCCCACCTACAACGTAACATGGATGCAAAGTAAGTTTGATTTGTTTTCAAAACAGAAATGATTAATTTAAAAATTCAATTATATGTTCTAATTTAATAATGAAAAAATATGAAATTAATTTTAAATGTAGGACAGAATCTGGAAAGTATGCAATTTTCTGTCAGAGAGCTCTCGAAAGGGGCTTGATAAACGGAGGTAGAGAATGCAAGCCGTCTCGCACCGAGGTCCTCAGCATTCTTTTGAAAAATCCTTTTCACCACTCCATGCCACACAGTATTCCAGTTCACTTCCAGAATAACAGTTACCAGGTAAATAAATATACTATTCTATTACTTTTGTGTTGACACGAAGACCTTATATTATTATTATTTTTAAGAAAATAGCATGTTTCTTAGCTTGTGTCAAGACAAAAATATCACTAACACTTCAACAGTAATGGAATTATAATTATTCTTTCTTACTTTAAATGTCTGAAGAACACTTAAAGTTTAAAATATTAGATTATTGAGAACAGTATTACTGTTACAATAAAATCTTTTATAATACTGTGTATAAGGTAAGGTGTATTTTTTCTATAATTTGTTTTTATTGTAATATATTAATCTTATGTGATGCAAACTACACATAACATCTTAAAAATGAAGATATGTAATTTGGACTAAGGTAGGCGGGTAAGCTATATTAATAAACAAAGAATAATATAGCTTACCTGCCTACCTTAGTCCAAATTACATATCTTCATAATTAATTAGCCACATTATAGTCTGATTAAAATCTGGTTGTATTATTAGCATCGTTTGCATGTAATTATCTAATAAAATTATTTAATTAGCCACATTATAATTTGATTAAAGTCTTACTGTGCTGTTTTACCTTAAAGATTTATAATAATAAACAGAGGGTAGATTAATGTTATAAACCCAATCTAGGATGCATAAAAACATTGTTATGTATGTTTTTGGCTTTTCAGAGCAGGAAGGGAACTTATTGTTTTATATTCTCTAAAAATAACAGATTTCCAGAATTTGAAAGATCTGATATACTTAAGCTTGCTTTAATTAATTGACCACATGTGTTTCTTCTTCTTTAATAATTTTTTTAGAAATNGTAAAAAATTTTGACTAAAAATCGCGTCGGGTCTGTCAGACCCATGCGACTCACAGAAGGTTAATTAGTCAATGAATAAAAAACTATGCAACATAGTAATAGAAATATATAATTTAACATTGTCAATATTCATCAGATTTGATTAGTTAATATGAAGTCTGTTCAAAAAACAGACTTTATTTTTTATTTATTTTTAATTTTCATTCTTCAAGTTATGGATTGTTGGTCATTGTCCCCTTTAAAGTACTCTCCTCCCCTATTTACACACTTATCCTAATGGTGTTTCTACTTTGCAAAGCAGTCCTGGTAAGGTTCTTTTGGAATGCCCTTCAATGTTTATGACAAATTTGTTTTAATATCATCTTGTCAAAACTGGCACAACATACCTGCTCACTCAGCATTGTCAAATTGACAATGCTGAGTGAGCAGGTATGTTGTCATGGTAAAGGAACCATGAGTTGTCTCGCCACAACTCTGGTCTCATTTTGCAAATTTTTTCATACAACCATTTCAAAACACTTGTGTAGTACTGAAGGTTGACTGTTTGACCTTGAGACAAAAATTTAAAGTTCACAATTCCATTGAAATCGTAAAAAACAGTGATCATCACTTTGACATTGGATCAAGACTGTCATGCTTTTTTTGGATGTTGGAGATCCCTTTCCATCCCATTGTGATGATTGAACTTTTGTCTCCATAATCTTGATTCAAAAGTTGAAATGTTTCTGTAAAAGTTTTTCCCAGTTTCACTCAAAACTTCACGTTGCACTGTTGCTCACATAAATCACACGCTGCAAAAAATTGCCACAAACACTGAAAAAACACCTTTACTCAAAAAACAATAACATGGGAATGAAACAAAATATCAAAAATCCGAAAAAAGCAGCTTACTCAGTAGGTTATCAGTAGTAGTGGTTCAATACACTTTGGGGTATATATTTTAATTTCAGTATAAGAATTATTTTATTTTAACTTTAAATAATTTTGTTTTGTTCGAAATTATTAAGTTAAAATAAAATAATTCTTATACAGAAATTAAAATATATACCCCAAGTAACAGTAATAGTTTGATAACAGTAGTAGTGGTTTGATACACGAAAGTGTATCGAACCACTACTAATGTTATCAACCTAAAGACATTAGGACACTCCATTTCCATCCAATTCAAAAAGTTGGTTATTTTTTGAACAGACCCCATAAAACAGAATTAATGATTGATTCAAGTTATCATGATAATGCATGTGGTTGCCAATATATTAATAATTACTGACGGGGACAATTGAATAAATAGCAACTATATATTTGCAATACAAAATAAAATAGAACTATTTTTTATTTGATGAATGTAATGTTTATATTGCAACTAAAAATAAATTCTTGTGAACAGAGTAAATAAATTGATCTTGTGATAGGAAAAAAATCTTTATATTGTTTGTATTGTGTAACTCACTCCAGTAACAGGTTCAAGGTATGTTGTTGACTTCACCACGGTGTTGTTTGGATGTAGATGTTTACCAGTTAAAAACTCACCTTACGATGACTGCAGACAGAAAAAATTATGTTGTCATCCCAAAACGATGTCTCGAGGGTGGGAGACATCCGCAGGCAGTTAAAAGAATGATCTCCCACTTCCAAATTGTTACTGGACAACACAGAAAAAGTATTATAAAATTGTGAGGGAGATGATATGCGAGAAAAAACCAACTACTAGAACAAATAAAATGTTACTGTGTAATTATGTAAATAGGGCGATTTGGCAGATACATTGTAATGTCGCCACACCTGCCGCATAAAAAGGAGACGAAGAGATGGCTCAGATGAGGTGAAACTTAGATTTGAACAAAGTGGTGCTAAGAATCGAGTGATTGATCTAAAGATTCCCAAGTTCCAGTAACAGAGTTTTGGTGATGCATAATCAAATTTGTAAGATTCATTGTTTTTTTTTTTGATAGAATTGATTCCTATCTTTCTTATTGGTTGTGTGGAGAAAAACCAAATTAGAACTAACTTAATTCTAAGTTCCCAAATTGTCAGGAAGGTTTTGTACATATTTGTTTTGGTTTGGTAATGTATTTTTTTTTTTTTTACAAAGATTTTCTAGCATTATTGAATTGTATATATATGGGCTTTACCAATAAATAGAACTTTTTATATTACATATAGTAATTCTTTCAGAATTTAATCTTTAGTGACAATATTTAATTTTTGCTTGTGCAAGTCCAGACCTGGCATACTAACAATGAACCTTAATATGTAATGCACTGTTAGCATATTTTCTGGGCTTTTGCTTTACTTTCATTTAATAAGACCTTACATAGTATTTTAGTGAAATGTCATGATTAATTTCAATATTAGAAATATCTAAAGGGTTAAATTTAGTAATAACTAGTACAGAGTGTCCAAAAAGTTATTGTGCAGCGAGAAATTTCTATTGACACTAAAGTTATATATATTGTGTTTGTATGAGACCTGTAAGTTGTCCATTCATTACCGATTGACCAGTTGTATGTACAGTATTGCATACAACTCATGGGTCTCATATGCAATACTGATTTTAACAGTTTCACATCCATGAGTTCCATTAGGATAGTGTATTGTACATATGAGATAATCTTTATGGTAATGATAAATATTACCTCAGATGTAAATGTTACTATAACAATTCAAAAATAATCATCAAATTAAAACATATGTTTTGACACTTGTAAATATCAAATAAGACATACTTTTCTCCTTATAAGATGCACTTTTCTGTACCTAAAATTTATCTGAAAATTAGGATGTATCTTATACTGCAAATACTATTTTTTCCCCAAAAAATATCAATGTAAAAAAATATGATGCATCAAATACAATTCTTATAGGGCAAGAAGTACAGTAAGGTATCAAAACAAATATAATTATTAAACAAGATGTATCTTTGTGTTTTAGATTTTTTCCTGATATTACATCTATAAATGATTACAGTGGGTGATCGGTTAATGAACAGATCGGATAACGAACAAATCGGATAACAAACACTTTCGCGAAAGATTTTTATGTTCGGGCAACGAACACATGATCGGATAACGAACACTCCATAGAACAAACACAAGAAGAAGCGACGTAAAATAATGAATACCGATTGGTCTTCCCTTGTCTTCGGGCAACAATTTGAAACCTTTCGGAGCGTGAGAGACGTCTACATCGACGCTCAAGCCGGTATATACCGATCGGATAGTATTCCTCCGAACTTTGAAACTCTTCCTTTTAATTCCAGCCTTTTATTTTTCTGACAGAAACAATTCTTTTATGTATTCGCGAGACTGTCGGGTAGGCACTCGTTAAGTTTTGCGTCTGTTTTTCTTTTCGAAAGATCAGAGTATAATAGCAAAGGTAGAGAGTGGACAGAAGATGCCTAATGTTTCTGGGCAGTATGGCTTGAACAGGTCTACAATAGGCCGTAGTTAAATCTTATCTAAGAAAGATACTGTATTATCAAGAAGACTCAAGCAGCTAAAGGAGTAACAAAAATCACATCTGAGATATAGGCTAAAGAACATCGAAGAGTTCATAATGGAATCCGAAACGGATCTGACGACAGAAGAACGCCAAGAACTCTTGAATGAAGAACACCAAGAAACTCGGCGAGATATGTTTTCTTCTGAAAAAAGAGGATTAATGCCGATATCTGTTATTAAAGATCTTTTGTAGTAGTAGGAGGATGTCAAAATAACGATCATAGAATGGCATCCAAACCAGGTTGAGGCTTGGGGATTTCTACAATTGCAATGCTGTTAATAACTACTTACGAAAAATCCTGAAGAGAGAAAAGCAATCCCTTATTTAACCCTTTCAAACGGAAAAAAACATGACTAATAAAAATGCAAGACTGTGTATGTATGTATTTTTATTATTACATATAAATAAACGTAGTAAGAAAGTATATATTTGTTTATTTTTGGGGGTCTCCAGAACAAATTAATGAAATTTCCATTAAAACCTATGGTAAATCGATAATCGGTTAACGAACAATTCGGATAGTGAACAAAGTCTTGGAACGGAATATGTTCGTTAACCGATCACCCACTGTATTATACTAAATAAACAATGAGTATATAGTGTATATTTATATTGAAAATATCAGCTATTAATTTTAAGTATACCTGCAATAATTTTTAAAATAAATAATTTTTAATTCAGTTTAAATTGGCTACAATTAATTAAAAATGTAATGGAAGAAAGTAATATAGACTGAAAAACTCATCCTGTAATATAAATATTAATACATTGAAATTATTCTATATATAATGTAGAGAGATTATTCTATATATAATGTAGAGAGATATTATATTCCAATATAATGTAGAGAGATGTGTCGGTAAAATTTACTTGATGTTTATCCATGGTGGCCAATCTGTTTTGTAAGCCTCACATGGCTCTTTTAGACCTTTATTACTATAGTTTATTACTTGTATAGTTAGATAATTTTTTTTTTATAAAGTCAAGATACACTACCTACATGTCTAATATTTTTGTAAGTTTGCCAACTGTTATATAATTTGAAATATACACAGATTGTAATGTAACTTGCAACTGAAAGCTAAGGGTTATGTTCTTATAAACTGAACTTTAAACAATTGTATCTTGAATTTTTTATTGTGACAATAAAAAAAAATTTTCAAAATATTAATTAATAAGAATTAAAGATGATATTTATAAAAGAAATTTCCATTGAAAATATTTCATTTTGCAAAAATATAAAATTGGTTATTACCAATTTTTTATGGTTTAAATTTTATGGCACATTAAATAAATGAAGTTAAAAAAAAATCTTACAATGAATTTCAAACATTACTTATAAAATCATTAATTAAATAATCTTTATAAATAATAAGAACAAAACTTTCTAGACTATGTATTATTGAATAAAAATAACATCTGTGATTAAATACTAATATTAGGTGGTTGGTTTTGATGGTTCTACCACAGTTGAAGAATTCATCCATACCTTAAATGCCGAAGCCGGTATTCGAGACATGAGTCAATCCGGATTTGCTCTCTACAGTGATGATCCAATCGAAAAAAATCTTGAACATTGCCTTAATACCTGTGCCAAGGTAATAATGTCTAGCAATTATAAATATTTATTAAATAATTAATTATAATTTTTATGTTTCTGTTTAGTTGTGTGATGTCATTTCGAAATGGGAACAAGCGTTGCGTGAGAAACACTTGGGAAAATTCGAAAGCACAAGAGTTATTAAATTGATGTATAAAAATAGGTAAAAATAATTACGATTTTCTAGAGTTGTTATGTTTTTACAGTATCAAATTCATAAAATATTTATTACACTTAATTACTTTTACATTTCCTGCTTAATTATTTATTAATTACAAATGTTACGCTATTAATTATAATATTACTTTCATTTTAGATTGTGTTTTCGCCAGCTTTTGAAGGCCGAAACAGATAAAGAACGATTATTAACGGTGTATACGCTAAATGAAGAAATTGTTCAAGGGAGATTTCCCCTAAGTAGAGAATTATCATTGGAACTTGCAGCACTCATGGCACAGGTTTTATATTTTTCTATACATTTAACATATACAAGAACAGCATTTTTAATTTAATAGAATAAGGAAACTTGTTTGTAAATGGTTTGATTCAGCATTTGTTGCCAGTCTTTAACAAATAAATAAGCTTTGTTTTTATTTTATAAAAAAGTAATATTGACATCATTTGATTAAAGTCACACATTACTGTATATGGTGATATATGCTTATAAAATTTTCAATGATATAATATATAAATGATTATGAATAATAAAAATTATTATGAAATAATAATATATTCTTAATTGCTTAAAGCAATAACTAACTCATTTTTCATCATTAAAATGTATTACGTCTATTCTCTAAAGAATTTATTTATAATACATTTAATTAAAAAAAATTTACAAAGAAGCAAATTTGATCCTTTCATTTTCACATAAGTCTTGGTATTCACAGGAACACCCCATGATATCAAAATTTGCAGATGCTCAAGTCATGCATAAAATGGCATAGTATTTGCATATTATCTGTGCATGTCCTGCATGAGCAAGCTTTTTCTAGATGAGTGCCACAAACATTTTTTCTCACAGAGTTTCAGGCTTTAAGCTTGTTCAGACCCTAACTTCCAGTATATTAGGTACTAAAATAATATATACTGATAATATGTAAACTAGTAATATATTACACTGCCAAAGCCCCAGGAGCCACAAATTAAGACCTTAGGCCGCATGTGGCTCAGATGGTATGGATTGCTCACAATTCCTGTAAATCATCTCTTGATAATACCTAATACAATGTAATTCATCTCTATAATACCTAATACAATGTAATTCCTATGTAAACAATTGTTATACTGTATTCTTTAAGGAATGAAAACAAGAAAAAAATTCTGTGCATACAGTACAAATGCAACCATTTTAAGTACACATCAGCATTGGCACTTTCACATTTTTTTTTTCTTTTAATATGCATTTCTTTCACTAAAAGATTTGAAAGATAAATATATAGGATAAAATATAGAATATTTAAAGTACAGGTATCCCTTGATTAACGTGATTAATTAATCCCTCAATCTTATCACGTTAATCAAAATAAGGTATTTATGTTAAGTAAAGACATCTGGTAAAGCCGCATAAATTAAAACTTCTGGCACGTATATAAAGGGATTGCCGAAATTAATTTCATGTGTCAATCAAATTCAGTGTTACTCAAAACTGCATTAAGCAAGGGATACCTGTACTATCAAATTCAAATTTTGCTTTTTGGAATTTTCTGGCATTCTTTTTCATTTTCAAATATTTTTGACCTGTTATTTGTTGAATTTGTGAATGCAAAACTCATGGATATAGGGGCTATATTTAATTATTCACTTCTGAATAAATGAAATTGGTTTAGTGAATTTTAATACATATATAACATATACACATAAAATACCTTCCCATAGAAATATAACTACTGATATTTTAGGATTTAGGCAAACTGAATAATAATAATAATAAAGATTTTCTCTGATATAAGATCAGTTTTTAGATATTACAGTATTAATTTTTTAATTAATATTCTGACAATGAATTTGATTAGAAAAATTTATTATATTTTTATTTTTTAGATAAAGAAAGCATTTATTTATTTATACTTAAAACCTACTTTAAATGCATTTTGAGCATGCAGATGAACTCGCTTTTTGAATTTTTCGATAACTTTCGTAATTATGGAAATAACTTGTTTTTATTTTAATTGATTTATAATGGAAAAATTGATTACATTTACTTTTGTGTAGAGTTATGTTTTCTTTTCTGAAACAGGTAGTAATTTAAATGCATTATGGTTAAGATTAGTCCTTCAGTTCTGTTTTTTACTCTGTAGTATATGATAGTTAGAAAAAGTTATATAGTTGCATTGAATATTATTAATTTTGAATGTTGAAAAGAAATTCTAATTGATTAATCATTTTAAGTAGTTAATTTAATTTTTACAACAAAATTGTAATTACTATTGATTTGTATTTCTCTTTTTTTCCTTTGTCTCTCTGTTTTATTTTTAAAATTTATATAAATTTTTTATATGTTATTATATACTAAAAATTACTTCTGACGTTCTTCACAAACATATAATATCAATCCAAAGTATAACACAAAATCTTTTTCTATTATATTTTGTAAAAGTGTTTGCAAGTTTCTACAGTATGTATTTGTAATTATTTTTTTTTAAATGAAATTTTACATTCTATTATTTTAGATAGAATTTGGAGATTATTGTGGTGAAAAAGTTCGAGGAAGTGGTCTTCAACCGACTAGTCCCGAACAATTACTGCAACAAGTTATTGAAAGGTTTTATCCCCACCGTTACAGAGATACAATTGATGAAAAGTAAAACATGTTCTTTTTTTAATTTGAATAAGTTAAAATGTTTAAATATATATATATATATCCGATCTTTCTTCATTACACAGACAATTATCTGAAATCATTAAAGAAAAGTGGCTGTTATTAAAGGGAAGAAGTGTCTTAGATTGTGTCAGAATTTACCTCAACTGTGCTCGAAAATGGTCTTTCTGTGGTGCCAAACTATTTAGTGCCAAGGTATAGAAAAATATTAAACGTTCATTGAATAAAACTTTATATGAACATTTAATATTTTAATTGATCTTGTTAATGTATATTATGTAAAATAAAGTAATTAATGTAATGTAACTTTATCAATTAATATTATTTTGTAAAGATAAAATTTGATGATCTTACTGAAAAACTCTTTGCAGATGAAATCAGGCGATCAAATTTCCGTTTGGTTAGCCGTAACTGAAGATAGCATAGCACTTCTTGATTACGTTACTATGGTGAGAAATATTTATTATTAAAGAAAATCAGTCAATCAGTTAAATTTCCATACATCAAAATTACAATTTCTAGGGAAACTAACGTATTGATTATAAGAATTCTCATGAATTTTAATGTAATTATTACTACCAAACAAAAATTAATTCTATGATATATAAACTTGGCAAATAACTAACTCTAAGGCCAGGAACACACATGTGTAAAATTGTGTGGCTGAAAACTGAATCAGAAATCAGCTTTCAGTTCAGTTTCTGTTTTACGCTTTTATGCCAGAACACGTACGTAAAAATTCTGGCTGAATAGGAAACACCACTGCCACCAACAGTGCTAATTTTATTAATTTTTTCCTCTCATAGAGGCTATCTATCCCTTTGTACCTTCCATTTTTTCTCCACTTCCTCTGCTATAATATAGAAAATTTAAATTAATAGAATTGTATTCCAAATTAAAATAAAGAACGTGTGATCTAAATACTAGGCCTATATATCGATTCTACTAGACTTACCTGTTATTTGAAATTTAACACCTATAGCCATCCATAAACGTTGTTTGAATACAGTGTCTTTATACATGATACTGATGTGGTCGAACGGATTCAATAAACTCCTCTATTTTTCCAGACCGTCACAATTGTAGGATTAACCCTCATTGCCACCATTGTTAGAATAAAAAAACCACGTGTCTACTTTGACGCCACAGGAAAGACTTCTCTTTATTGGAGGAATTTTGGTGTAAAAATTTTTTGGCGTAAAAAGTAGAGACATGCTCTACTCTATTTTCAGTTCTGTTTCAGCCAAAATTTCAGAAAAATTTTTACGTTTTCTGTTTTAAGCTAGATTTTATGCTGAATTTTACGCATGTTTGTTCCTGGCCTAAGTTATTCATAATTTTTTAAATAGAAAAAACTTATATTTTTTTGCTTTAACATCAAAAATAAATTAAACACAGAAACCTAACTAATTTTATTTAAATATATATAAGGTCTTCCAAAATGAATGCTACCACCATAAATTACTCTAATTATATTAATTATTATCTGAGAAGTATGCAATATATACAGTCAATAAAATAATTGTTCAGGTTTCACATCCCATCTACATTCAAACATCTTGCCATCTACTACCTCTAGGATGCATCATAAACAAAAAAGGCAACTCTACTCTACAACAGAGAATAATTCTGACTTTGTGTTCTGAAGTTCACAAAGTCAGAATCATTTATCATTGCAGCAGCTGTGTAATCATTGTAGAAGGGGAGTGACAAAGGTTATGGTGTAATAGTAATGAGTATAGAAAGTTTGAGTATCATTCAGATGTGTGCCATGTGACAGAAGGCACGCACATTCAGAAATGTGAAACTTGGATGGTTTTCCAATGTTTAATGTACAGTACATTACAATGTTCTTGGATAATAATTAACAATTAGAATAATTTAAAATGATAGCACACTTTTTGAAGACACTGTGTGTATGTGTGTGTGTGTATATATATAATCTNTGAAGTTAATTAATTTATTTTAAAAATATGCTTTCATTATATATTATAAAATAGATGTTATTACTTAATGTATATTAATAACCAATAATTACTTGATTTTAAGCCTAATGAAAAATGCTTTATGAATTATGTTATAACGAAAATTTTTTAGGCTCATCAGTTGTTACATTTGTTTCCCCTCGATTATGTTTCCGATGGAAGTAAGTCTCATTATTGATAAGAAACTGAATATTAACTTCTTGGTGACATGACAACAATGTAATTTTTGATTATAGAACCATTTTGGCAGTATCCCAAATGTGCTCCAATATTTTATAATATAATAATTTAATCTTTAATGTAAGTTTAAATTAATATTTTAGCAAGTGATTGCTCGTTATCCTTATTCCGGTGTCATCACTTTTGGCGGTTGTCGTGATGATTTTATGCTGGTTGTATGCCCGCCGGAAATGGATTGTGGAACTCGTGAAAGTCATGTAACTCAAAGGCTACTATTTGCTATGTCTAAGCCCAAAGTAAGTTTAAAACAAAATTTTTTTATATCATACAAATTAATAATAATAAATACCTTTTAATAACTTAAAAAATAAATTTTAAAAATCTTTTTCCAGATTTTAGAGATAACATTATTAGTGGCAGATTATATGAATGCTATGGGAAGAACTCCCGTCGTACCACCTTCACCTCAAGCCAGTACTCTTACCAGGCTAGAGAAAATAAAGTCTAAAATCAGAGCTACTACTGGAACTACGAGTAGCATTACGGGAAGTATTATGGCATCCTGCGTCGCCGGAATCGAGATCGACGGCAAGACACTGCCAGAAAAAAAGAAATGCGGAGGAGGTAGCGAATCTACGTGACCCCAACAGGTGCCAATATGATTAACATATAAATTCTGCGTAAATGCTGTACGATTCGCAGCCAAGCAGAAAGACTAATCAACTTTATAGAATCGTGAAGTTATAACATTTAGTGTTTGTCTTCTTTTTCATTTCAATCGGTTTTTGTTTTCGATTATATTTATTAAAACACATTTTCGAAGATGATGTTTCAAGGAGGAGAAGAAGAAGAGTGTAAAAGTTAGTTGGACTCTTGTATATCAATATTTGTATACTTATGTATATATATACACCTAGTAGGCTCTGCCATTTGAGATACGAAGTGAATATTGCTCCGAGTTCTGCTTTTTATTTTAATTTCGAAAAAGTTCCTACATTGATAAATAGAAATATTATTTCTTTTAAAATTAATTAATATACTTTGTCATTTACCAAATTTTATACATTTGGGATACGGCAGAACTCAAAACAATAGAAAAAAGTCAAAGATATTGTTTGTTTTGTAGAGTTAGTTGGCATTACTTAATTTTTTTTTGTTTAATTTTAATTATGTTTTAAAATTAAATTCGAGAAAACATCCCTTCTCTCACTTTTTTCATTCTTTCCTATATCTGCTGTAAATAAGCCAATGTCATAACTTTTTTCCTGTTACATCCTCCCCTTTATACCTGACTGTACTTAATTGTGTAGTAAAGAAAGAAAGGGCTCAAACTTTCTTGATTTTGTAATAAAGCTGATTTGAGATATAATCGAGTCAGAATTCTTTCTTCCTTCGCTATTTCTTTACTAACCTTTCCCGCTGTCAAATAATTAGCAGGTTCTAATCCGTCGGAAATGAGTAATTAAATATGCGGAACCAATTAACCTATAAAATTATCTAAAGTTTAACGGCAGCAAATTATTTTAAAGACACGTTGCAGAATTTTACCACCCGTTTAATCGGACTCTAATCGGAGCTCTGTTAAATGTCAAACAGAATCTTAAGAGCTCGTTCAACAAACTGATAAAATTCGTAAAGGGTCACGCACACAGAAAATAAAATGAAGTATTAAATAATCATCCTTCGTCTGCCAAAAGATAAATTACAAAAATATTATTATTATTTCGTCCATAAAAACTAAGTTTTAAAATATTAATAATACTATTTACTCTTAAATTTAATTAATACTAAATTAAGAAACATCAGCTTAATCATAAAATATTGGATTTTATCATTTGACTACTTAAAAATGTTTAAAATGAATTTTTCAACCGTTATATTTTATCACACTCCATTAATTAATTATTAAAATTTAATTAAATAATCCAAAAATTTACAGAATTATATACATAGATACATACATACAGACAGACAAACATATTGATCTAAATTCATAAATTACTAAAACTAACAAGCAGATAAATTTTAATGAATTTTAAAAATTAATATAAATTTTTAATGAAATAAATTTTTTTATCCTAAAGAAGAAATTTAATAATTTATTATTTTTATTCACTTTAATTCAATTCAGAAGTTTTATTATTAATTATATTTAAGAAAAAAAAATAAAGGAAATAAAATGATTACCATTTAATTTCGAAAAAAATAAAATTTCCTCCGATCAAAACGGTTAAAAATGTTAGAAATGCAATTAAATATATTTTTAAATCCAATTAAACTTGATTAGTTTCCATTTTACGATCGGCAACTAATTAACAAAATGGCAATTAAACTCGTTTCTTTTAATAGTGTTTGATTTTTAATTAAAATAGAAATCGATAGACAAATTAATTGAACACGGCGATCAGTTTTAATTGCTATTAAATTCCTAATTAATTCATATCAATTGCTCAATTAATAGCCTTTAAACACGTAATTAAATTGTATTTTATTAAATGATAATTATAATCCGACAAAAGTAATCCGCGTGTTAATTTTAGAAATAACTTTTATCATCATCATCATCCTTGATAAGGAACACATGCGTATAAGTAACATCCTGTTCGTAAATAAGACATTTGGTATCAATTTAATGATGATTAAGATTGTTTCCAACTTGGCCTCAGTCGAATAAGTTAAGTATAGGAAAAAAAACGATCGATTTTACGCTCAAAAATAATAATAATTTTCGAATCATAAAGCGATTTTAATGCTAAAAGCATTCCCGTTCTAAAAATATTACATAATTGAGCTTGTTAGTGACGTAACGGGAAGCTAAATACGCGTTAATTAACATTAGCTCGACGTCATTAAGCAATTAGTGACGTAGTCGCGACGATAAATAAGTTGGCCCCTTAACCGATTTTTTTTTTCTTGTATTCATTTTTATTCTTCCTCGTTGATTGTTATATCAATAATCTTACCAGAAACTTGGTGGAATTTTTGATACGAGGCGGAGTGAAGAAAGTTTCAAGATCAGAAAAAAAAAAGAAAAAATGGCGGAATTAATTTCGTTTGGTAGCGGTGACGTCACCGTGACGATTAGTACGTCACGTGACTTAAATCACAAATCTAAACAACTATTATTATTTTTTTAAAAGTGCGGGATTAAGAATTTGAATATTGATAATTAAATAAACATAATTATTGGGGATGCGGGAAGATATTTCGGGTTATTTTTTTAAAAAAATATAAATGCTTGGCTAGTAAATTTTTCTTTTTTATCTTTCGGGATATTTTTAAACGTTATAGATGACACAGTTACGTTAAAAGAAATTTTTTTTTAAAAGTTTCTCACTGTGACGTCACGGGAAATGACCGGCTTTCGGGACGGACCGAACGTAATTAAATTCGAGTAATTTAAAATGGGTAATTAAAAACAATTAAAACCGCTAATTATAATAATATCTCTTAATTATAATTATCGCTTGAATCCCATTGGTCGAATTCGAAAGAAATTGCCGGCCTCAGCCAATGACCATATATGGCACTTCTTTAGGGATTCTGGTGGCTTGATTGTGATAAATTTATGAGAGAATATCGTCTCTTATTCTTGTAAAGCAGTAAAATTGTCATTCCTTAATGGCCATCGGGAAGAATACTCAAAATATTTTTCTTATCTTTCCATTACTTTATTAACTCCCCCTACCGAATGTAAAGCGAATTACAAAAAAAAAAAAACAGACGACTAATAATAATTTAAAAAAATAATAAATTATGATTTAACTAAAGCAGTAATATTAATATACTGCTTTAGTTAAAAAATAATAATAACAACTTAAATAAAATAAAACGCAACCGTAATTAAAATAAATTTATATATATATATATATATATATATTGTTTTTTACTTTCGTGTAATAAATCGAACAATTTCAGTGATTTAATGTTAAAAATTGTTTTGTTTGTTGCTGCTGTTGAATGCTTGTTTATTGTTTATTCGTCTCGTTCGTGACTACTCATTTTATTACACTTATTACCCAATTTATTATTCTTGTTATTCGTTGTGTTTACTTCACTTATTATACGTACTTAATTATATCTTATATTTTTGAATATTTCTTCTAGTTTGTTGCCCTCCCTATTTGTTGATTACTGTTTATTCCGTTGTTTTCCTTCCTTTTTTTCAGAGCATTGTTCCATCTTTTTTTTCCTTCTCTCCCTTTCTTCTTCTTTTGGGGGTGCTGTTTGTTCTCTGTTTGAATTCCTTTATTGTAATTATATTTTGTTTTTGTTTTACTTTTTTCTCCCCCTCCAATATCTTCTTGTTTATTTCATTCATTTATTTCATCTTTATTCAATTTCATTTTCTTTTATTTATTATTCAATTTAATTTTATTGTATTGTACATTTTTATTTAATCGTCTTCTCTTTTTCTCTTTTCCTCTCTTCTCTTCTCTCTCTCCTACACCCCTTCAATTTTTATTATACTTAAAATCGATTAATTAAAACTTAAGAGAAAGGAAAGAATTGATTAATAATTATGTTTATTTTATTAAAATTAATGAATTTTAATCATATCTCTCTCTCTACCTCTCTCTCTCTTTTTTAATTTCTTTCTTTCTGCTTCATTTTCCAACTATTCATATTTCACTTTTAATAAATTTTTTCCTTTATTTTTTTCTTAGTATTTTAGGATAATTAAAACGAAACCCGATCGATCCATCGATTTACAGTAGACCCNAAAAATATAATAATAATAAAACGCTTTTAATAAAAAAATTTACCACCAGATGGGAGGATGTAATTAAAATCTGAAATGTATTTTTGGTATGAAATTAAAAATGTTTTTCCAATTTAATTAAAATGATGTCGAATTTAATTATTATTGTCGCTTAATTAAGTGTTTTATCAATTAATTAAATTTAAAATTTTTACGTATTCATCAACAAAGCGTTTCATATTTTCCCGTATGTATTATGTATAAACACTAATTTTACTTTTCGTGTTTAGGATTTTTAACGCGAATGTCTTTGAATTTTATTGAAAACTTAAAAATTTACATGCAAACTTTATAAAAAGCAAATAAATATAATTATTTAAGATCACAAACCATTCGAATGTAAACACGATTGCAGATAACGGGATTTTATTTACTTACAAAGAAGCTCTACGATTGGCTACTGGGAATTTAAAATTTAAAATTTTAAATTCGAATCGGCAAATCGGGGATTAAGAATTCCACAATCGACCAATTACTTGATTGGAATTTAAAAATTCAAAATTTTAAATTCCCAATCAACCAATTAGCGAATTTAGAAACTTTTTTCCTTTTTTTAATATATATAAATGTATTATTTTAATATTTTTTCTTTTTTTTTATTTGTAGGATGCTTAAAAGTCAAAGAACTAGGAAAGTTTATGAAATCTAATTAAATAGGACATAAAATATTTATAGAAGTGATTTGACGCCGCATTAAAATACATAAAACGAAATAGTTCGTGATGTCCACATGTGATGAAGTTTATCAGTATAATAGATTTTTAGCGAGAGAGACAGAAAGAGAGAGAGAGAAGATAATAAATTATTTACCACGCCATTCTGCATAAAGAATATTTTAGAAAAGCAATCGATTGATACGGTTATTGTTAAGGAGACCCGTAATTTTTTTTCTATTTAAAAAGGTGGCCAATTTGGCCGGTTACAAAAATAAAAAAATAAAAAATATTGTCGTGAAGCTATCGTGTTATGTCGGGCGGAGCAACGTTTGTAACACAATAAGTCACACGAAAATTATCATTTAATAACAGTCCGTAGGTATTTACGGGTGCACGAAGAGATGTAAATTCCATAAGTGTTGCAGCACACTCCCACGACCTATCGACTGTTGTCACAACAGAGCGACCATTGCCGACGATGCAGACCCAACAACCGTTAAGTTGAAATAATAATAAAATAAAAATAAAAAAAAGTGAGCAGCTGTCGTAGACGATAATGCTCTCTCTTTCTCTTTCTCACCTGTTGTAGTGATAACTGGCGATGGCTGCATATATCCGACGCGACTGGTCGATCAGCTGAGGGCTCGGCGGCCAAGACAGGTGGTGCTTGTCATCCCCGCCAAGGTCGTGCGAAAATGCGAAAACGACCCCCCCCTGGTCGTTACACCCGTGATATACAAGAATCGAAAGAGCGTTTCCACTACTTCTTCACCGTTTCGGACGTTATAAACGAGTCGCCGACCCTTACAAGCGGGTCAACAACCCGCGCCGGCGTGGCGCGCCGCCGAAGACAAATAAATAAATAAATAAAAAAAAGTTAAAAAAAGAAAAAATCCGCTGCGCGTCGCTCTTCTCTCTTACGTAAAGATGCCACGTAACAATCCAATCGGGCGAATTCCTATCGATATCAGTTAATTAGTTGGCGTTTCGACCACTAGGGGCGCTACTCGATCCAGCTGCTCGTCGTCCAAGGCCGCTTATGCGGTAACGCCGGTACACAGTCGGTGGTTGGAGACGGGACCGTGTCGTGCCGTTCCGCGCGCTCTTACTGTCACTATGGAAGTTGACCAGGTGTGGTGATCATCCGGGACACTATGACCCTAGTGCTAACGGCCAATTTCGGCAAGGCGTCGACCGTGGGATGCATCTACGATGAAGAAACCATGGATTTAGAGAATGCGATCGTCTCCAACGACAACTGGTTGCAAAAGGATAACATCGCAGGTGAGAGGTCATTTAATTATTTTCGATCGTAGCCAGGATCTTTAATTTTCTCTTCTCTTTCTTACATTTTTTTCGTTTCAAGAAAAAAAAAGAAAAGGATCCTGTTATGGCTCCCTCTTACACATATTATCCGAACTAGATTGAACGTCTGCTTTGAGCCGTTTTGAGAGCGATGCCGAAAATAGTATGGTTCCTTGACCCCGTTAGAAAGATACACGGTGACACAAACCGATACTCGGCTTGTATATCTCTCTCTCCAACGAAATTTTTTTTGCACCCAGTTGCGTTAAATTCGTGTTTATCATCCGCAGGAAAAAAAACTCTTCGTCAATTTACCCTTCCGCTATTTTTTTTTTTAAAAACAAATTGTAATTAAACGGGAAGATTTTTGGCATTCTTAAAAACCATTTGATTGGTATCGATCGATTAACTGGGAATCAATTATGGTAAAATTAAGTGGTTTATTTATCACAGATTCTGGTACTCTTGAAAGAAAGAGTTTTGACCTAAGAGGAAATGGAGGCAATTCATTCTGCAACACGATGGTCCAGATCTAGGGCACGGAAATAACCTCCTAATAGGACATAAACATTTGTCACGACGTATTGTGTTCCTAATAAATATTTCTCGCGTTACATATTTGATACGCTACACTTAAATATATATATGTATAT